ATATACATTATACATATTTACACGCACATGCTATTATGCATCTAGTCATTTATGTGTATAATTGGTGTAGATTCACTACTATATTCGTATGTCTGTTTTCTGAACTGTGAGATGCATACCTGTATCTGTAAGGAGGAAATAGTATATATGTATGTATATATATATGTGTGCGTGCGTGCGCGCGTGTGTATGTATGAATATGTATTAGTATATAAATAAGCACTGATATCTATATCTGTATGGTAAATGTACATATACTTAAATATATATGCTTTCATATATATATATATATATATATTTGTATATTTATATTCATATGTGTTCCTTATCTGAGTCTGTACTTTTGTTTCGAGCCCTAAATATTAAGCGCATTGTTTGCGTCCACTTGTTCAGTTTTCTGGTCATGTTTACGAACAGTGCCGTGGCTTGCTACAGCGTCTACAATACACATTTGTTCTTAAATAGTTTTCCTCTATATCTTGAGTTCACTTAACGCCTTAACGCCTTAGTATATGCATCGAATCAGACTTGGCAACTCTTCCTGAGAATTTGTATTACGTTTTCTACCGTGAACACTTCCTGAGTTGCCGGATGTGTGCATTACACTACGCCTACGATAGTATGCGTTCTAGTAACAGTTCTATTTTGTCATCACGACATGAATGTGTAGCATTAAGAACCGCGATGTATATAGGTGTATGCTTGAATGCACGAACACGTGCGTGTATGCATGCATGATAGAATACACAACAAGGAATCAACCCAATTGCGTTTGCATCGCGTGCGCTGGTGGTTGGCGTACATCTCAGAGCACGCGCGTGTTTTGCACATTTGCGTACCAAATACCAATTGTAGCTAATACGTACGAGTATATACACACAAGCGTGTGTACATAGTGGTTGCAATATACATATACTGCCTGTATCTGGTATATAAGTTTATATGCATGGGCGTGTGCAGATAATGGTTGCGATATACATGTACATATACTGCCTGCACTTAGTATATATGTTTATATATACATGAACATGTGCACATATTGGTTGCGATACACATATACATATACTGCCTGTACTTGATATATAAGTTTATATGTACAAGCATGTGCTCATAATGCTATCTGCACCGGGGTATTACCATGTCTGTCTTGCTCTATACCTGAATGATGAATTGTGAGGTGAACAATCTGTTGGCGTTGCCTACAATACGGCAGTGTATTTAATTGTATGTGGTACATGGTACATGGGCAATTGTTCTGTTTACTTATATTCAGCGCCGTCCTCGGATATACTTTCACAGCTGTGAATGTGTGGCAATTAGTATGTTTACTTATATTCTGCACCGTCCTCTGATATTCTTTCACAGCTGTGAATGTGTGGCAATTGGCCTGTTTACTTATATTCTGCACCGTCCTCTGATATACTTTCACAGCTGTGAATGTATGGCAATTGTTCTGTTTACTTATATTCTGTACCGTCCTCTGATATACTTTCACAGCTGTGAATGTGTGGCAATTGTTCTGTTTACTTATATTCTGCACCGTCCTCTGATATACTTTCACAGCTATGAATTGTCTGTTTACTTATATTCTGTATCGTCCTCTGATATACTTTCACAGCTGTGAATGTGTGGCAATTGTTCTGTTTACTTATATTCTGCACCGTCCTCTGATATACTTTCACAGCTGTGAATGTGTGGCAATTGTTCTGTTTACTTACATTCTGCACCGTCCTCTGATGTACTATCACAGTTTCGAATGTGTGGCGATTGGGGCGGGCCACAACGACGGCGTCAGTGCGTGTGCCTTCAATAAGAAAGCTGCGGATGCGAGCAAACGCGGCTTTGTCGTCTCTGCTGGACAAGACCTGACCGTAAAACTATGGAACGTGACTGGAATCAACACACAGGCAGACGCCGACACAGACCCATCGGCGCACGAGCAGAGTATGGAGCTGATACCAGCCATGACCGTCAAGGGACATGACAAGGATATCAATACAGTGGCTGTGGCGCCGAACGATCGCATGTTTGTCACCGGATCACATGACCGGACGGCTAAGCTGTGGTCTACGCAGGACCTGAGTCTCCTGGGGACGCTACGCGGTCACAAGCGCGGTATATGGCACGCCGAGTTCTCACCGGTGGACCGCGTGGTGGCCACAGCCAGCGGCGACAAAACGATCAAGTTGTGGTCGATCACTGATTTCACCTGTGTCAAAACACTGGAGGGCCATACGGGGGGCGTGCTGAAGCTCGCATTTATGAGCCGAGGCATGCAGATGGCCTCGAGTGCGGCGGACGGGTTGTGTAAGATCTGGACGCTCAAGACCAGCGAGTGTGAAGACACCATGGACGGCCACACGGATAAAGTGTGGGCCCTGACCCTGAACAAGAGCGAGAGCCGTATCGTCTCGGGGGGTGGCGACAGTGTGCTGAATGTGTGGCGGGACACGACGGTGCAGCAGCAGGAGGAGGTGGAGCGCGTGAGCGAGGAGAAGATGCTCCTGACCCAGGAGCTGATGAACCTGGTGCAGAACAAACAGTACCTCAAGGCCGCCAAGCTGGCCCTGCGGCTAGACCAGCCACACCGTATGCGGGAGCTCATGGAAGAGATAGTAGAGAGTGACCATGTGACGGGTGGCGAGAGGGGCGTGGGTAAGGTGGTGTTGGCGCTGGACGATTCGCAGGTGTCGCGGTTGCTGGGCTATGTGCGCGAGTGGAATACTAATGCGCGGCATTCGCGCATTGCGCAGATGGTGCTGATGTGTGTGTTGAAAGTCATACCGCCCGCGCGCATGGTGACGCTGGATAAGATCAAGAACTTGATAGAGGGTAAGCGTGTGTGTGGGTATGGGTAGGTGTAGCTATAGCTGTAGCTGTAGCTGTGTGAGTGACTGGGAGAGGACCTCTTGTGGTTGGCTGAAGTGCACACTCGGATGTAGTCGTGGTGATGCAGATGCACTGATCACGCGTACGGCGTGTACAGTGTAGTATACACCGATCACACATCAGAGAGTTGCACAACTCCACAGTACATTTTGCGTTGGTATTGGCATTCCGTTGTATATAGTGTGCATGGCTGTGGCGTGTGGCTGTTGTCCTATTCTTTCCAAGCTGGTGTACCATGACCTGTTCAGTGGGATCGTGTAAATGCAATGCATGTACGGGGCCCGATGTCTGGGTGGTGTCTTTTTAACCAATTCTGGCTTTGTCCCTAATATTGAATCACAACTAAATCTTTTGCACAGCCTTACTACCGTACTCGGAACGACACTTCTCGCGTCTTGATCGACTGGAGCAGCAATCCTTCTTCGTCGACTACACATGGCAAGGTGTGTTATGTTGGCCAATGGGGGTATTTTCTGACGGTGCCCGGATACTTGGTCTGTTTAATGCGACATGTAGAGGGCTTTATTTGGTGTATCTGCACTTGTAGCCCTGGAGATGGGTTTGAATTATTTAGTCTACGCATACATTCTATGTGCCACTGCTCTGCTCTGCTGAGTAGTAGACGTACTAGTAGTAGGTGAATGTAAGAATTGTAGGTGAACGTACTAGTAGTAGGTGAACGTAATAGTAGTAGGTGAACGTAATAGTAGTAGGTGAACGTAATAGTAGTAGGTGAACGTAATAGTAGTAGCGGGACGTAATAGTAGTAGGTGAACGTATATTAGGAGGTGGACGTAATAGTAGTAGGAGGACATAAAAGTAGTAGGGGGACATAATAGTAGTAGATCACCTTAGTGGTGGACGTAATAGTTGTAGGCGGACGTAATAGTTGTAGGTGGTCTTAATGGTGGACGTAGTAGTAGCAGGTGGACGTGTATAACCTTTCGTCGTAACCTTCATGTTGTATTGACTAATATTGATGCGTGTTCCGCCCTGATAGCTCACTTATATATATGTCCCAAGTGCTTCCCAACCATTATATATACAGTCATGATAGTTCAAATAGATATACGATGTCTCAAGTACTCTTTGACCCTATTACTTGTAGCCATGATAGTTCATTTACTTTTATGTCTACCCCCCCCCGCCCCCGCCCCCCCCCCATATAGGCTCTTCTGTTATATATTACCATGTAGTTTGCTTTCATATCCCCTCTTCTCAACCCTATTGTATGCAGTCATGATTGTCTACTTATAAACGTCATATTCTTAAGCCTATCATACATAGTCATGATAGTCTACTTATAAATGTCTCATATTCTTAACCCTCATAGCCGTGATAGTTTACTTATACACGTCTCATATGCCTAACAGGTCTACGCTACGGTATGGTCGGCAACGTAATGGAGGCGCAGCACATGGGCATGGCCGTCAAGACCATCACCGACGACGACAAAGACTTTCTGGGTGGGGACAGACGGGCCACAGACGACACACAGAAGGACAAGGATCCTACTGCGGAGGATGCACCACTGATAAGCATGCAGCAGCAGTTAGAAGTCGCTACGCCACCGAGTGGGGCTGAGGACGGCGACTCTAAGTCGGAGAGCGAGAGTGGGAGTGAAGGGGCGGAAGAGGTAGCGGTAGCGGTAGCGGGGGAGACCAATGTAGCTGATGCGGATGAGTGGGCGGTGGAGGAGCTGGTCATCCCGCAATCAACCGCCGAGACTAAAGCGGGACCGTCAAAGGCGAAGAGGCAGAGCGTCCAACCGACAAAGGGTGTGAAACGGCAGAAGATAGAACTAGAAGAAACCGATGAGAGCGGTGATAGCAGCGATAGTGAGAGTGGCAGCGACAATGAGTTTGTGGAGAAGATGTTTAAAGAGAGTAATGGCGCGACACAAAAGGACAGTGCCACGCCCAGTAGTATGAAGGCTGGTAAGACCAGTGGTGCAAAGAGTGCGAACCGGGACAAATCTGACCCCAGCAATGCGGAGAAGGGGTCGGGTAAAAGTAGTACCAAGAAACACAATACACCGAAAAATGGGACCAAACCCAAACCCAATTCTAAACCCAAACCTTCCAGCGAACCCACGAGACGCAGCAAACGACGAAAAGCTTAACGTTTGCTCGAACACTTAGTTACAAGTAAACAATTTAGATACAGTCGTGCAATTGTGCTGTTGCAGGTACATGCCGTGATAGTACAGTTGTTCTCGAAAATAAAAACATCACTTCTCGACCCGTACCATTGCCGTTATAATCCGCTTGTGATTGATTGGACTTTCGCACCTTCATTTAACGCTCACGCGAACACGTTCGAACTGGTTCCTTTGCGAATCGAGATTCAGTGTTAAAGTGACTATCGTAAACACATCAGTTGTCTTTGTTGTTTATGTATTCGTATATGGAGACGCATTGTCTGCACACAAAGGTCCAATCACAAAGCACGGGATAATATCATATACAGCCACATCGCATGAGGGTACTTTACCTGCAACCGAAGCATTGGGTCAGTAAAGTCCTTTCAATGCTTCTCGTGGGTCCCAAAAGTGGGAGGGCACAACCACCCTCTCTACTATTCGTTTACTTAGTATGGTCTATCGGATGGAGAGCCGAGTTAGATCCCTAAACCGTAAGCCCTATTTAAACCTGTCGTATCATTCGTGTAATATGACTTAGCCCTTTCTAATATGAGTGCTATGAATATAGCTGTATGACAGTGTATGTAGTACATATGTAACTGTACACACTATTTTTTTGGTAAAAAAATCCGAATAAAAAGTTGTATGAGAGTAGAAGGCGATGTAAAAAGGGGGATATTTATAAATATAATGGGGGAGTTTAA